TATTATGATCATCTGAAATATTATTTTTAATAATTATTTTTTCAAAGAATATATTTTATAGATTTGTTTACAGTTTCAAAGAGTTGACAGAAAAAAAAGATTTTTAGGCGATTTTTTAAGAAAGATTTTAAGATTATTTTCATTGTTTTAAATGAAACTATCCATTTTTTGTTAAAATCTTTATTGTAAACTTTATGGACGATTCAAGGATCTAAAATATTATGATTTTGAAATGACCTTGAATTAACTTTGTGCATGAAAATATTAAAACACGTGCTATGATAACAAAATATGTTTAAAATGTCTGTTATGACAAGTGATGAGAGTGTCATCACTTTTCAGGCAATTATTAAGATGATTATAAAATAAAAATTTAATTCTATTAATAGTCTCAATACTAATAAATTGTAGAGAAATATGAAACGAATGAAATTAGTGTTCTGGTTCACACACACTCACACACAAACACAACTGCTATAATTGCCATAATTTTCACAATTCAAACCGTATGTAAACTAAACTAAAGCTTGTGTCAAAATATTATAATCAATATTTGTTTTCTTCATAATATCAGTTTAATTAATATCAAGCATCAATGGTTAAGAAAGGGCGCACGTATTTGTTGGCCAGCACATTTACCAGATCTTAACCTATTAAATTATTTTTTTTTTAGTAATACTAAAGAACATTTACAAACATGCCAACGACGCTAAAAGATATAATGTAGCTTATTGTGACAACAACATGTATATAATTCTATTAGTAGCGAGACTCTATAAACAGAGTTTATTTTTTATATATTCATCACTTTAATAAATGAATTAATTGAAAGTTGATGGCATATTGAAAATATTTAATTATCATTGTACATTTTTTGAATTTTTTTTTACACAAAATCATTTCAAGAACACATAATATTAGATCGTTGGATTGTTCATAAACGTACAAAAAAGATTTATAACAAAAAAGGGTAATTCTATTTAAAAAATAAGTGTTTTTAATATCTACCGTAAAAAATTGATTTAAAACATTTTTTGTCCGTCGGTCTCTTGAAACTGAACAAATCCATAAAATTTATTTGAAAAAATAATTACTCAATATAATATTTTAAATAATTATGATATATGAACCACACTGTATATATAAAAGAAATAATAAAGTAAATGAAATATATGTGAGATAGCAATATATAATCAAATTTTTTACAGAATATTTTTATTTAAAACGTAGCTATTAATATACTTAATGCTAAAAATTGAAAAATAAAGTTAAATATGTTCTCTATATTAAACGTTTGCCAAAAAAAATTGACAAATAACCGAAAAATTTGAAGAAATAAAAATATAAAAACCTGTAATATACAGGGTGTATCAGACCACCCGTGCCAGTCGAATATCTCGAAAACCGAGAACGGCAGACAAAAATATTTCAGACAAAAGTTGTAGGGTTTCAAGTAACGCATTACATAGTAATATTAGTACGACCTTGAATAGCGTTGTCAAGGTCACGTGAAAGTCATCATAAATTTCTTAAATGGAACTCCCTATTTTTTATTACATATTTTTATAGCTTATCTCGAAAGATTTTCAAAACACTATAATAAAGTATTTTTTCATTAAGTACTTTTTGAGTTATTTTATATTTTATTCTGACAAAAAAAAAAAGTTTAAAAAATACATTGTAAATAATTACATACTTTTTCTTAAAAACAATTATTTTTTTTATACTAATTGATTTGTTTTTATTATAGTGTTTTGAAAAGCTCTCGAGATAAGCTATAAAAATATGTAATAAAAAATAGGGGGTTCCATTTAAGAAATTTATGATGACCTTCACGTGACCTTGACAACGCTATTCAAGATCGTACTAATATTACTATGTAATGCGTTACTTGAAACCCTGCAATTTTTGTCTGAAATATTTTTGTTGTCGTTCTTGGTTTTCGAGATATTCGGCTGGTACGGGTGGTCTGATACACCCTGTACATATACAGTCGCATCAATCCGTCTGTCGACCGTGCTTCCTGATTCCTTTTCTTGTTAGCCGCAACCGCAACCCAGGTAGCAGCATAATTTCAGAAAAATGTAATGAGTTTTGTTACGTGTAGAAACGTAAGCCACATTTTTATCGACGACAATTACAAATGCTTTTATTGAGTCATATATCGTTGCGCAACATTATTAAGGAAGAACTGGATGAATCAGCTATGTCAAAAGATAATAAATCTAACGAGATTCATGAATTTGATTCATGAATTGTGCACACATAAAGTACTTTTAGCTTTTTAAAATATAAAACTAATAATTAATTTGTGAGTTAAATTAAAGATTTATCTCTGTAGAATATAATTTAATATCAAAATCGTATAAATATTATTTTATATTGAAGTAACTTTTTTGTTGTGACTGTGCTACGAAAATTTTATAATGACTGTATACAAAAATTCGTGAAAATAAAGATTTTAATTTTATAGGACAAATTTTTACTTTAATTTAAAATTAATTATTTATTTTATATTTTAAAAGGCTAAAAGAGTGTGCTTTGAACAATGTCAAAATTATGAATTTCTAAATATATTAGATTTATTAACTTTTAACGTAACTGATCCGTTCAGTTCTTTCTTTGTTAGTTGGTGGATAATATAATATTGTACGAACTTTTATTGTGATACGTAAAATGATACATACTTTTAATGAAATGACAGAGAGAACCAGCTATTTGGCTATTGAAAGCGGTACCCATTTTTCTCTCGATCTATCTCTCTCTCCCTTCTTCTCTTTCTGCTTCTCTCTCTCTCTCTCTCTCTCTCTCTCTTTCTCTCTATCTCTCTCACTCATTGTTTTTATTAGAATATTCTAAGTATTCTGTAATAAAAATATGTCACCATAATAATCTAGCTTTGTTTACCAATATTAAATCTAAGGAGATATATAAAATAATCGTAAATTTTATTTTGGAATGCAAAATATTTATGATTAATCTGTTTGCGTGGATATGATTGTATTAATTTTAATTTTTTATCTTAACTTATTCAATAAATTTGTGATATGTATATATATATTATATCGTAAGTTGCTTAAATATTTTATAAATAGTCATGCGTTTGCTTGCGTGATTGACTCGAGGAGCGACTATGGAATTTCTCTTGGAACAAATCCAGAATTTCACATTCCTCACTTTGCATAGTTATGCAAAGACTAATCATCATCTCAGTTTCTCTTGCGTCTATTAGGAGTGATTATTGGCGAACGTGTAGATTTTGTGATGCATCAATCTACAGACGACGCGAAAAATTTTCCCGGAATGAAAAGAAAAATATTGTTTTAACAAACCACAGTGATGAAATTATATCGTATACAAAATATTTTTCCTTATCAGGATAATACAGCACCTTTTAAATATTGTTTTTATTTTAATTCACATTTCTTTTGTTTATATATCCGTATACATATATACACACACATACACACGCATAGTTATATCATAATTCAATTTAAACCCACGAATTATGTAGTTATTTCTCAATGAAAAATGAATTAAAAAGTTCTGATTCATTTTTTCTGCGATGTTTAATGTAAGAAGAATTGTTAAATACAGGTTCCTCACACACACAAATCAGCGCCGTTTTTTAGATGGGCAAACGTGAACCGCATATGGAGTAAGCGTGATTACATCCAATTCGGCGCATGGTTCATGGACGGCTTAAAAGACGGTGCTGATTGGAGGATTTTTATTTAATAATTCTTTTTATGTTAAAAAAAAAAATGGATTTGCAACGAACAGTTACATATTTTTGTCTTAAAAACGACTATGTATTTTCTTTATATCAATTGATTCCTCTCATCATTTTATGCATAAAAATATTTTATGCATAAAAGAGGTAAGATAATCGAAAAATGAATATTTTACGAGATATTTCATAGTTTATGTAAAATATGTCAAATTAAAATATGAAATATCTCGTAAACTATTCAAGTTTTGGCTACCCTTATAATTTTATATGACGAATATTGCAAGGAATCGATTTACATAAAAAATTGGGTGGTACCATCTAAAAAAAAAACTAGGTTAACCTCATGACCTTGAAAAATGACATTGGTTAAAATTCAAGATCAATTTCTTTCCCTCTCAAAACTCTATAAATTTCGTCTAAAATTTTTGTACAACGTCAAGTTTCGAAAAAAAACACCTTATAACACTTTATGTGAAACACTGTATATATTCTCACAAGAAGTGAGATGCGAACGAAGTTGCATACATGCAAATTAAATAATGAATGAAGTTTCTAGCGAAAACGATTAGCTCCGTTGAATATAAAATTTCACCTTCGACAATAAAGTTCAATAAACCGGGAGGAGAAGATAACGGAGAAGGAAAGAAGAATTCTAGACATGTCTGTCAAATGAATTAGACTCATTAAAATTTCACTTTGGATGCGTTGGCTTTTTGAGCGCCAAGTATGGCACTCGATAGCCGGATATGCATCGCACCACGTGCGAATATGTTGCTAGTGGTCGTTGCTATCATTTAAGCTATTGATGTACGTACACTGTTGTCTGGCTATTCGACGCTTGAAAACACCAATATCTTTACGACTAATTACGCGATCCAGAATGAAGAGATACCCGTAATCGGGTGCGTATAAATGAAATAAGCGAATGCAAATCCTGAAGGCTAATTAAGATTTTCGTTGTGCCCTTACTCGCCCGTGACGACTTATTATGTATCTGACATATTATTCACATTGAAAAAAAGAACTCGTTAATTTGACTAAATTCGTCCAACTACTATTTATTTGTATTTTTTTAATTGAAATATATAAATATTTAAATCAAATACAACATATAAATCTAACATGACATATATTTGACTTAAATACTTAAATATTTAAATTAAAGAAATACAAAGAAATAATAATTAGTTGGATGAATTTAGTCAAATTAATAACTTTTTTTCTCAGTGCAGAGACCCATTCGTAATTCGTGGCTTCTCTGTTTCAGTTATAATCAGAATCGGTATATCCTGTTTATGATGCCGTACTACAATAGTGGTCATAGCCCTGCTTATAACAAAGGTGAGTAATCTTATTAGATTATATCGCGGAATTAAAGTTAATTTCATTTCGAAATATATTATTACTTGCTAAAATATTATTTTCTTGCTAATTTTATTTGATTTACTATTGTACAGGAAATAACAATAAGGAATAGCTTTATGTAAATTTACAAAAAATTAGAATAACAAATAGTATAATACTTTATTATAGTGTTTTGAAAAGCTCTCAAGATAAGCTACAAGAATATGCAATAAAAAATAGGGATTCCCATTAAAAAAACGGAAGTTGATCCTCAAATGACCTTGAAAATGACCTTTAATGTCAAATCCAAGGTCACTATTAGATAGCCCCCTTTGTTCCCCACGACTTTTATCCGAGTCGTTTTCCTTCAAACGTTGATCCTGAAAAGCTATGAGGGTGGAACTTTTAAAATGGGACACCCTGTATAAATGACATATATTATTTTGAAAATTGAGCAGTGAGAGGAGAATAGTGAGAGACGGATTTTTTAAATAAGAGCGATTAGAAACGAATCTCACATTTCAGATGGCGGTTCCAGCGGGCCGTCAAGCACTTCTGGCGGTCGTGCCAGCAGTTCGGAGCCGACGTATATGATGGAGCACTTGGCCACATTCACCGTCACGAAAGAAACCGGTATTGTTTATCCGGCGGATGGTATGCGCCGGCTTTTACAATTGGAGAAAAGCAATGGCATCTGGAGTCAAAAAATGCAGCTTCGTCTGGAACGAAACTGGGTTCTTATCATGGACAACGAAACAGGGGTAATTTCTCTTTTTTAGATATTTTACCGTAAATATACTAATGATCGAAAAACATGTTTATGGAACTTGATGTTTTTAGTTAAATCCATATTTTTCATCATGTCCTCTCGACTATATAATTGTAGAAACTATTACGATCTTGCCTTTCTCTCTTTCTTTTCTCTCTGAAGCTATACTGATCTTGACAAGACACTTAAAGTCATACAAGTCACCATTTTGTATGCGTCTCAAAACATATGCGACTATTGTCTAAACAATTTTTTCATGAAAAATTGACTATTTCGTTATTTATTAATATTGTATATAAATATTATTTATAAAGTATATGTATAAATATGATCTTTAAAATAAGATACTTCGTGTGTATCCAAAACTGATAATGATTGTACCCCTATTAACCTGGCATTCCCACCACGAAAAATCGGGTTCGGCTAAAGTGCATAATTAAATGCTAATTTGTTGCTAATTTATTGCTCTAAGCGCGAATTTATTGCTTCTATCCATTTGGAGGAAAATGATATTAAACATGGGAGTGCTGACTTTTCATTAAGCTAGCACTCCCACTTCTGAAAAACACTTATAGCGAGTCGCAAATCAAAAAACAAATACACTAGAATTTATTGCTAACTAATTGCTCGAAGATACTGTGAACAGATTTTGAAAATATTAAATTTTTAATTATGCACCAATATGACATACTATAAACATATAAAGTAAAATCATCAAAAATAAGTAGCCAACAATATTAATTTGTTATAATATTGTATTCTGCATAAAATGCTCTCAAAATAAACCATTTCCGAATTTATTGCTTGCAGTTTCATTAGAAAAGTCGACCCGAAAGAGAGGCACTGCTAGCTTACCTACAAGAATAAACTATATCAACGCAATTAGTTGCTGTTATTATTTTAGTCGTAAAATGTTTCCTCATTTATTGCTCTCAAATATATGATATCGAATTTATTGCTGAACGTTTGACTTAGAAAAATCGACCTAACGAGTGGCGGTGCTAGCGTTCCTACAAGAGTAAACTATATCAATGCAATTCATGCAACGCAATTGCGTTCATGTACTTTATTCTTGTAGGTAAGCTAGCACCGCCACTCTTTCAGGGCGATTTTTCTAATTAAACTGCAAGCAATAAATTCGGAAATGGTTTATTTTGAGAGTATTTAATGCAGAATATAACATTATAACAAATTAATATTGTTAGCTACTTATTTTTAATGATTTTACTTTATATGTTCATAGTATGTCATATTGGTGCATAATTAAAAATTTAATATTTTCAAAATCTGTTTGCAGTATCTTCGAGCAATTAATTAGCAATAAATTCTAATGTATTTGTTTTTTGATTTGCGACTTGCTATAAGCGTTTTTCGAAAGTGGGGGTACTAGTTTAATGGCAAGTCAGCATCCCCATCTTTAATATCATTTTCTTGCTAATGGGTAGAGCAATAAATTCGCGCTTAGAGCAATAAATTAGCAACAAATTAACATTTTATTATGCACTATAGCCAAACCCGATTTTTTGTGGTGGAGATGCCAAGTTAATAGGGGTAATGATTGTTCAAATACTGTAACTAGATAAATTCTGTTCTAACACAATAAGAGGGACATTTTAATGCAGATTGTTCTAAATGCAATTATCTTAAAGATTCAAATGAGGCATTACTTTGTTAAAAATAAATTCAAAATCTGTTTGCAGTATCTTCGAGCAATTAATTAGCAATAAATTCTAATGTATTTGTTTTTTGATTTGCGACTTGCTATAAGCGTTTTTCGAAAGTGGGGGTACTAGTTTAATGGCAAGTCAGCATCCCCATCTTTAATATCATTTTCTTGCTAATGGGTAGAGCAATAAATTCGCGCTTAGAGCAATAAATTAGCAACAAATTAACATTTTATTATGCACTATAGCCAAACCCGATTTTTTGTGGTGGAGATGCCAAGTTAATAGGGGTAATGATTGTTCAAATACTGTAACTAGATAAATTCTGTTCTAACACAATAAGAGGGACATTTTAATGCAGATTGTTCTAAATGCAATTATCTTAAAGATTCAAATGAGGCATTACTTTGTTAAAAATAAAATTGTATATATTTTTATTTGATAAAATGATATTACAGAAACGAAATTATTTGACACAGTTGAAGGCTATTTACATAATTTGTATCAACATTTCGATTTGACATCTCATGCAAAGGAGTATAATTGATGACAATTTTACTTAATAACATACGATTGAAAATTTTTAGGCTGTCATGGAACGATTCCCGGTTTCCTTGATACAGGAACCGACGGCGTTCACATCGAGGGATCCCATGGAGATGTACAATAATATTTTAGTCTTCACGGTGGCCGATGACAGCGGTTCCGGCCAGCGAGCAGAGATGCACATATTCCAGTGTCAGAGTGTATCGGCACAGGATCTTGTCGAGGACCTGAAGATGTTGCAAATGGGAAAACTTGTTACGGGCGGTTCGCCCAGGGGTCCCAGAGGTCACATTCCACCTCCACCGACCTTACCGCCACCGGAACCACCTCTGAACGGCGTTAATGTCAGAGAACAAGTATCCGCTTTCAATACGGCAAGTGGTGAGTATGCAATTAATTAATATTTTATATCGTTGGAAATAATTAACGTTTACATACAAGAGAGAGAGAAGCGTTAAACACTTCAAACATTAATTTAAATATAAGTGGAAAGCTCGAATTGAAAAATTACAGTGATATATATATGTATATATATATATTTTTTTTTATTTTATACAATATAATCGAGCTTTACGCGGTTTTTGAATTAATAATATATATTAACACAGTGTTAATATATATATATGGAAAATATTTTTGTATATGTTTATATATAATACAGCAGACGGTCAGAATGACATTTCCCGGGAAGAAAACAACGACGAGGTATCATCGACATCGTCAGAGAAATACGAACGCGATGTAACAATTCTGAACCATTGCTTTGATGACATCGAGAAGTTCATCGCACGTCTCCAGCACGCAGCTGCTGCATCACGAGAGCTGGAACGTCGGCGACGTAACCGGAAATCGAAAAAGAGAAACCTCGGCGACGGTATGCTGACGATGAGAGCGAAACCACCGCCTGAAATGGAGTTCATTGATATATTTCAAAAATTCAAGCTCTCATTCAATCTGCTAGCCAAGCTCAAGGCGCACATCCACGATCCCAATGCGCCGGAACTTGTACATTTTCTCTTCACGCCGCTCGCGCTTATCGTAGATGCATCCCACGACACCAATTACGACCCGAACTTACCGAGCAAGGTGGTGTCGCCGCTTCTCACGCGAGAAGCCGTCAATCTATTGATAAACTGCGTAACCAGCAAAGAGACCGAACTCTGGCACTCGCTAGGCGACACGTGGCTGATACCGCGCGATCAATGGAAGGGTCATGTACCGCCCTATCATCCGATTTTCATGGATGGTTGGTCACCAGAGTATCCTATCCCCGAGGATAGAGACCATGATCACTTGGCGTCCTTGCTAAACGCAGATAAACAGAAAAGAGACGAGTTACCGGAACAACAGAACGACCCTTACTATAATCACCGTGATATAGACGAATCACATTATAGCAGCGATTATCTAGAGTACGAAAGTCGAGAGGAGCGCGGTGGTAATGAGTATTTTGAAAGAAATTACGGGCCTAGCTCGGAGCTGTATGGTAGAGAAGAGAGAGTGGACCAAACCAGGGCGCACAGTGACATTTCTGTGGATTCGATTGAGAGAGCTCCTAGAGCGTCCGCCGGTATAGACAGAGCGCAGGAAGCTTGGCTGGATGAATTGGCAGCACGCCACGCCAAGATCGTGCAAGTCACCTATCCGCGAACGGCAAACAACGACAAGGAGCTCACTGTGGTCAGGGGCGAATATTTGGAAATCCTCGACGACAGCAGAAAATGGTGGAAAGCGAGGAATTCCCGGGGGCAAGTCGCTCACGTGCCGCATACTATCGTTACGTCGCATAATTCTACCGCTCATTCTGCTGACAATGATGTCTTTAACAATCCGTTGTATACAAGCAGATATCCCAGGCAGGGACATGGCTATAACTACGAGGTGAGTGTCATTGAAGAGTAAACTCTTTCTGATAGATAACTTGTCGATAAATAATCATGAAGAATGTGAATAAAATTGTGTTTGTAGATAGACAATGCATATTAGCAAAAGTTGAAATATATAATAAGAGTAATATTCCTAACAACACACACGTTCAAAAGACGTCCAGAGGATGTTTTACATCTTTTGAAAGTGTATGTTGTTAGGGATATTATAATTCAATATAACCGCAGTGAGAAATCGAAAATCTTAATGTATGTTTTGTTGGATTATTGAATTAGTTGTAAATTTCTAATATTTATAAAATTGAATTTACTGTGTGTGTGTCGCAGGATTCGGAGATCGAAAGAACCAGCACTAGTCCAGGACCAGAAGCTACGCATCGAGCACACGCGATTCCACCACCAGCGCCTGCTGATTGGGTGAGAAAAGAAAGACTCGGGAAAAAAGGTGAATTTCGATACTTTTAAGCTATTTTATGCGCTTACGGGCGTTCTGTCTTTATTCGAATTGGAGCAATTTCTGAATATTATTTCAGCAAAGTTGTGAAATTATAAGATGCAGCTTTTTTTTATTGTCCCTTTTATATAGGGTGTCTAATAATAATTGCCCCATCAGTAATGTGCAAGTAGAGCGGATTAAACCGAATAGGAAAGTCCTCTACTGTTTTGCGATCTTCGCAATAATTAATGAGAAATTAATTTAAAAAGATCGGCCAATTCGCGCGAGTATTACCGCGCGGTGAGAAAAGATGGCTTGATATGGGCGGCATTGATATGTGGTTGCTAGGACGCGAGAATCCATCGTTATGTATCGCTCGTACGTAACTGTTGTCATTTATAAAGCACTCCTCCCAAAACTTTATCGCGCGCCTATTTTTGGGTTGTCCTCTTCTCGCTGCGCGCTTATACTCGCGCGAATTGGTCAATCTTTTTGAATTAATTTCTCAATAATTCTTAGAAAAATCGCAAAATGGTAAAGGACTTTCCTGCTCGGTTTAACCCGCTCTACCTGCACATTACAGGTGAGGCGATTATTATCAGACACCATATAAATAAACTTCGATTTTAGAACAACAACGAATATCTTTCAAAAAGATGCTGTCTTAATTGATGTGGTTAGGGCATAAAAATCGATATAATATCAAATTTGATAAAGGGTTGATATACATAAGAGATAAGAAAACGCGCTTTACGTTAGTATGTAAATGAATTATAGCATAATTAACTGTTAGATCATCGTCCATGTCACGTTTTAATTAGTGCATTCGTCGAAGAATATTGTAATATCTGATGATTTTTTCTTGAACGTGTATATATAAACAGGTATAAGTAAATAGAATGTAGACTGAGCCGTTCATACTCGACTACAAGATGGGCGTGGCATTCTAAACTTCTCGTATCGCGATTATTCTAACATTTAGAGCGACGTACCGGTACATTTTACTTTTTTTTACAAAAGTATATTGCTTTCATTTTCTTTACGCAATACCATTGCAATACCATTGCGTCTGTTTTTGTCGTACGACCTAAAACATTGTAATAAACTGCACGGTTGCTATTGATAGAGTTAATAAATACAAAGAAAATAAATATGAGAACTATAATTCACTCTAGAAAAAGAAATATATGAAAAGTAATATAATTTACTCTATTATATTCATATAATAATTTATATTCTTGAAGATATAAATTGATTATTTCATCGAATCTCTTTTATCGTTATCGTAAACATATCGCGCGTTATCATAGACGGAGAAATTATGATTGGTAACAATCAAAATAACACTGTTTAGTATGAAGTTTAGTATGAAATTAATTAATTGATCAATAATATGAAATTTTTGTTAGAGTTATCAAGTAGTAGTGATTATCAATCACCAATATTTAAAATAACACTATTTAAATTAACAATAAGTATAGAAATCGGTAATGATCGGTGATTATCAAATCCGATATCTATAACGTGGTTGAGAATTACCGGATTAGTTTTTAATATTATATTTTGATTATGAATTGTATGATTATTGAAGATTATCATCATATATTATATACTCTGTATTTATCGATTAACTAAATTTAATTATATAATTTTTTACTAGTAGAAAGGAGAAATATATATGTATGTTTGTATACACACACACGCATATACATATATATGTTATATACGTATTATACTTCACATGGAAACGCGTTACGATACGTTAGCCCATTGAACATTTTCTCGTCAGAAAGTACTTACATACATATAAATATATACTTACATATATAAATAAAACAATGCAAGTTATGTCAAGTATGAAATTATGTATAATTTCGGGTGTTCCAAAATTTGCGAATCAAAATAATCTCTTAACTTAATTCTTCGAGAACTTTTCTGCGATAGTATTTTGATTCGCGAATTTCGAGATACCCTGTATAATTTTGCTGTTCAAATATTATATACATATATAATTATATATACAGGGTGTATCTGAAATGATGCACTAAACTTTAGGAGCGTATTCTAGATGTCAAAATAAGACTTTTTTTTTCTTATGAACATGGTTTATGGGTCCGCAAATGGACCCCCCTCCGAGCTAAAATTCGAAAATGTGTGAAATACGTTTTTATTTTTTTATTTTAGTGGCTTACTTTACTTCATAATTTACTGGGCTATACCAAATTTCAACCTTCTGCCATTTTTTTTCTGAAATACAGCCAATTTTTAATTTTTTCCCCAAACTTTAGGGGCCTCTAGCAACAATATATATATATATATATATATATATATATATATATATATATTGTTGTGTATATAAATGTTACACAACAATATATATATATTGTTGTGTAACATTTATATACACAACAATATATATATATATATATATATATATATATATATATATATATTGTGTGTGTGTGTGTATGTGTGTGTAATACTGAATAAAATTGAAGCATCACTTCGAGTCGATTGAAAAAATTGATAAAATTTAAATGTATGTAATTTTGCGATAAACTATTATACAGCAATATGCGGAAGCATCTTAAAGCTATGAGCCTATTTTAAATAGAAAACTTTCAGTTTGTGATCATGTGCATGCAAAATAAGAAATTTTTTTAAATTTTTCTTTTATGAACTTTGCTATATGATCATTTCTCGCAAAATTACATACATTTAAATTTCCTGTTTTAAATTGGTTCGAAGAAATTCTGTAATTTTATCGAAAAATGTATTTGAACGGCAAAATTAAATTAGTTAGATTATAATATATCCACACTATATTTTCATTGAAACTATAGCAGATTTGTTATGTCTGTCTTTTGTCTTTATATTGGGAGTTTCACTGAGAAAAACAGTTTTATACGATTTCGATAAAGGCTTTTGATAAAAATTTAATAGAGAGATATAAAGGATAAGCGAGCAAAACTTTTCTGATATTATTAATAACATTATATATTTTGGCATTACATGCTGTATTTTATTAATAGCTTTTATTGAAGTAAAAAATCTTTTGTCCGATTCTACTTGTACATGTCGTCGCATGCATTTTATATTTATTAGATCGATGTAAATAAGCTTGTACAAATAATTGAAAGAAATAGTAAAAAAAGAAGAAACAACAACCAGAGATAAAAGATGTTCGAATATTTTAAATATTTTTAAAAAATCGAAAAATTATATTTATAATTACTCTAGTAATAGAGAAAATTTTTTCTTATATAAACAATTTTTTTTCTCTTACAGGATTTATATTTTGTTTCACAATCTAACACGCGGTCTAAACTTATCTATACATTGGCTCTAAATTTTTACTATTTCAGAGGATAGTAATAGAAAGATACAGGCATAAAATACGAAACTGATTTTATCAAATCGATACTAATCATTTCTTCTTATAGCTTGCATTATATATTATTATATATTTAAATTCATATCGAGGTGTTGACCTCAATGCGATAATAATAAGTGGACCAAGAAGTCAATGAACAATATACTTGCGCGTAAACAATAATCGTATAAATAATAATCGTGGATAAGAAGTAATACAAACATTTGTTAATCCTTTTCTATCACAGATGCATTTCTTTTTTCACACTGGTTTATTGTTAAATTATAATATAATTGTGTTGATAAAATGCTGTCTAAAATATAACCCAAAATCGCGGTATATAATTTCTACGAGAAATTTTACAATGTAAATAGCTACGCGCGCGCTATTTCCTATCTTTTCTTTTTTTGTGATCGATGGAAACTTTAATTCTACATTTGTATGTGTGTCCACGGGTGGGTCGGGGATGCGATTCATGTCCAGTATTTCATTACACTGTAATTTATGTATATCACTTTTATTGTTAATAAATAATATGCAGTTACAGATTGTGTTTGTGCAAAGTACCGTTGTCTCCTCCATTTTTTCTGTTTCCTGAATATGCAGTAGATTGTGTTTGTGCAAAGTACCGTTGTCTCCTCCATTTTTTCTGTTTCCTGCGGAATCGTATCGATTATTAAACTTAATTATAGTAATATTTTGTCATATTTTACATAAACATTTTGTCTAGTGCAGAGATAAAAATACATTGTACGCATCCGCACAAACAATATATGCACGTGCGTGTATATGTATTAGCGAATAAAACATGCGTATTTGGCAAACGATGATTTATTATCCCGATATTTATTAATAGATTTTAAATTCCGAATTGTAAAAAATTTTAAATATTGTCACTTGTGGTGCTTAAACTTTGTGCTTAAACTGGTGCTTAATGTTTGTTTGTCCAATATATCTAAGGTTGTGTATGTTTTATGCAAAAGCTTTGGGGTAAGTTATAGTCTTTTCATGTTTTTAATAAAGCTTTTCTATATTGACATTACGATTTACCTACCTATATCAATTAAGTGCTCGTGAGAGAAATAATTCTTTATTGCATGGCAGTTTGTAATTTAAATTAAGGTAAATATTCACATTAGGTCAACTCCTTCAAAAGTCAATGACCTTGACAACATATATCAAGGTCATTGACTTTTGAAGGGATTGATCTAATGTGAATATTTACCTAAATTAATATTGCAAAATTATTTTACAGATAACGTTAATGCTTACAATGGAGGCACGAGTAACAGCAGCAGGTCGAGTGTTTCCTCCATCGAAAGTACCTCTGAATCGCATGGAAAGCTCAACATACAGCAAAGCATCGTGGAAGTGCATTTGCCACCTCGCCATATAATACCAGATGTAATATCCGATAAACGGATGCCACCGTCACCGCTTTCGCCAGCACTATCTGTATCAATATTTAGACCGACATCAACACTAGCTGTGTCAAAATCGGCACCAATACTTTCTACCCTGAAATCAACATCAGCACTATCTATACCGAAATCAGCACCCGCATCACCTGCATTAGCTTCATCGAAGATATCTTCAACGCCTCCACCACCACCTCCACCACCACCGACGCCAATAGGACCTATTCCGCCGCTCCAAACTCAAAAATCTGCGCCCTCGACATTTTCCACATCCAATAAAACGGAAGTTTCCAAAAGTATTAAATTTTTTAATAGTGAGTTATGATCAATTTTAACTTTTTGTCTTAAATATTTTAAATCATTGCTCTCAATAATTTGTATTATTGATATTGTTTTATTTGATTATAAAAGGCACTTGCGGTCAAGAAGAAGTTCAAAAAGAGCTCAAGTTTGTCTTAACGATGTTCCGAGAAAAGAAAGCGAAATTAATGTATTTTAATTTGATATGTATTTATATATTACAAACATACATAATATATATATATATATGTAGAATAAATTGTATCACTTTATTACTCGACAGCAACGTATTAAGCAAAATAAAGTAAAACTTGTAAAACTGATATTAGGAAACGGTAATTAAAAGATGATGTAATCAATATATATATATATATATATATATATTATATATGTATAGATGCAATATATATGTATATGTATATTTTTTTTATTTTATACTGCAA